CTATGTAGTTGAGACTGACCTGGAACTCACTATGTAGCCCAGGCTGGTTTCGAACTCACAGCGATCCTCCTGCCTCAGCCTCCCAAGTGCTGGGATTACAGGCTTGCACCACCACGCCCGGCTTATATTTTTATTTTCTCTGTGAACATATTTTATTATTAATATGATTACAGTTGTCCCTAGGTATCAGAGGATGATTGATTCCAGGACCCCTGAAGGTACTAGTCGCTTTTACACAATGGCATGGCACTTGCTTGTAACCTGTGCACACCCTGCAATCCATTTCAAGTCATCCCTAAATTACTGATAACAACTAATACAATGTCGTGACAATTTTAAGGAATCAATAGTTTAATGGTTTATCTCAAGAGTGGATTTGTTGGAAAAATCAGTTTGGTTCTCCCAATGGCGCAAAAAATAATACTGCAAATCAACAAATCATATCAACATATAAAGCTTCTGCACATCAAAGGAAACAACCAACAGAGTGAAGAGAACAACCTACAGAATGGGTAAAAAAAAATGCCAGCCATTGTTCAGATAGAGGACTACTATCTAGAACACATAAAGAACTCAAAAATATTACACCCTTCTCCAAATAAAAGAATCAATCAAAAAAATGGGCAACCAAAATGACAAATGGCCAACAAATACATGAAAAAAAATGCTCAACCATGCTGGCCATTAAAGAAATCCAAATTAAAACAACACTGAGATAACACATTACTCCAGAAAGAATGTTTATCATCAAGAATCAAGTGGGCCGGGAATTTAGCTCAGTGGTTTTGCCACCTGTCTGAAAAGCACAAGCTCCCGAGTTTGATACCTGGTACCAAAAAGAAGAAAGAAGAAGAAGAAGAAGAAGAAAGAAAGTGATAAATGCTGGCGAGACTCTTGGGGAAAAAAGGAACTCTCCTACATTTTTGGTGGGAATGTGGATTTAAACAACCACTGTGGAGATCAGTATGGATATTCCTCAAAAAACTAAAAATAAACATCCCATTTGACCCAGCTATTCCATTTCTAGGAATCTTCTCAAAAGAGTTAACATCATCACATTACAGTAGTACGTGCACACCCATGTTTATAGCAGCACAATTTACAATAGCTAAGCCTTGGAAACAGCCCATATCCCATCAACAGATGAATGGTTAAAGAAAATGCAGTATTTATACACAATGAAATACTACTATGCTGCCATAAAGGATAAACTTGCCAGGTGTGGTGGCACACGCCTGTAATCCCAGCACTAAGGAGGCTGAGGCAGGAGGATCACTGTGAGTTCGAGACCAGCCTGGGCTACATAGTGAGTTCCAGGTCAGTCTCAACTACATAGTGAGACCCTGTCTCAAAAAACACCCCCCCAAAAAAAGGATAAACTTGAAGGATTTGTAGGTACATGGATACGCCACAGGTAAATCAGATACACAAGTTTAAATGTTGCATAGTTTCTCTGATATGGGAAACCCAAAATATATAATGAAGATCAAAATAAAGGCTGGATAACAGGCAGGAAGGAGAACTTTTTCAAATGGGAAGGGGATCAAGAGTTGGAGGGAGCAGCGAGGAACAGGAGGAGAAGGGGACAGAAGTAATTAAGATGTATTATGCACATGTACAAACTCTCCATAAAAAATGAATAACTATATGCTACAAACATGTACTAATGAAAAATTAAGTGTTCGTTTAAAATAAAATGGGAAAAAAAATCAACTTGGTTCTGTCTCTTGGATACACCCAGCCCTCCATGAGATGCCCTCTGCCATGCTGTGACCCAGCCAAAGGCCCTCACCAGAGGTGAGCAGATGCCAACACCATGCACTTAGCCTTTCCAGCCTCTAGAGCAGTGAGCTAAAGAAATTCCTCTTCTTTATGAGTTACCCAGTCCATGGTATTCATTTATATCAACAGAAAATGGACCAAACAGTTATGTGCCAATAAAAATTTACTTACAAAAGGAGGTGGAGGGCTGGGGATTTAGCTCAGTAATGACACCATCTGCCTCACAAGTGCAAGGTCCTGAGTTCAGTTCCCAGTACCAAAAAAAAAGAGAGACGGGGAACCCAGATTTGGGCTCAGGGTGATAACTCCTAATCTAATCCACACCCCAGCTGCCACAAGGGTGGAGGGGGACAAAATTCCATGCCCAAGTAGCCTCAAGCCCCATTTCCAGGCAGGCCTGCATGGCCTCTTCCCATGACCCTTATCCTGAGAGCTGCCTTATTGACAGTAGGTTATGTCTAGGCTTGAATATGACCAAGAGGTAGCTGCTTAGGGGACAGACCCAGACTCACAAGCTGAGGTGCAGGTGAGGCCCTGGTAGTATGGGTTAGAGCTAGCAGTAGAAAAAGAAGGGAGATGTGACCTCAGATTGGGGTTGTCTCCCCCTACCTCACCATGTTCTGGTGCGGAACTCCAAAGAGTCTTACTATTCAGTTGATCCAGACAAAAAGGTTTTAACATTTTATTGCTTGAATTTAAAATGTCAAGCAGTTAGATCTACGGTGCATAGTTTCCACTTGTGCTTTGCCCCTGCCCTAGGACAACAAGGGCAGTCTGGATCAGAGCACAAACGCTTCTCAGATCAGCCTCAGGCAGAATGCACTTGTTCCCACACGTGTTCCTGGAAAGAAAGTCTGCAAGCTGGCTCCTTGCTCCTCGTTGTCCCTGGGAGCATTGGAAGCAATTGATGGCAAGGCCTCGCAGCCTCCCCTAGCCTATAGCCACCCACCCTGTCACCAGAGCCCAGACTTAGTGCTCAGCTTTTCAACCACAGCAAAGAAGATCCAAACTGGCAAGTCCCTCCATTTTTCCACATTGTACCTGTAGAACATCTGTTCTTTGTAGTTCATCTAATTTCACTGAACCTCTTGATATTTGTACAAGTTCCCTTGCAGTAGAATTAAGACTTCTGGTTGCCAGACATGGTGGCACACACCTGTAATCCCAGCACTCAGGAGGCTGAGGCAGGAGGATCGCCGTGAGTTCGAGATCAGCCTGGGCTACATAGTGAGTTCCAGGGCAGTCTCAACTACATGATGAGACCCTGTCTCAAAAAAACCAAAAAAAGAAAAGAAGTAAGACTTTTGAACGTTCCTTGGTCTCCCCAATCTCACTCATTTAACACAACCAACATGAACACCACCACTATGCCTACCACTACCTCTGCCATCTGATCAGCACAGAGGCTTTCAGCACATCTGCCTCACCCAGAACACTCTAAAACCGGAGGACTTTTGGAGGGTTGCCATCCTT